CTCAGCTTGCCCCGCCCCTGGGCCCCCAGGGCCCCCACCTGTCTTCTTTGTCTTTTCGGCCCCCCAGCCGCCGAGCCTGTCTGTCCATCACGCTGGTCCGGCTGCGGGTCTTCTTCCACGAATAGTAATACTTTACCAGACTAGGGATCAGCTTGTCAGGCAGCTGGAAGGGCAATGCCAGGGGCTGGGACCCACCCAGGACCCTGGGCCCCGGGCGGGCTCGTCAGAACGGAGGGGCTGAGGAACGCTGGCAAGGGGGAATGGGCTTTTACCATCTGCTGGATCCGCTGGAAGCATTTGCCATGGAAGCCAAAGGCCTGTTCAAACAGCACCTTGTCCTCCACAGTCCACTCGTCAGGGAACGGGGTGAAGTTGGCCAGGTCGGCCAGTGACTTCTCTACATCGTGCTTATGCCACAAGAGCATGCCCAGCGCCTGGCCCGGGGGAGGGAACGACTCGGGCTCAGCTGCGCCCGGCACCGTCCCGTCCCCACCGCCCAAGTCCCTGTGGGGCCGAGGCTCACCTGCTCAATGTTGTAGCCGTGCTTCTCCTTGGCCATCGCAATGTACTTGTCAACTGCGGGGGTGGGAGGGGCCCGGTATTGGAGAAAGGGTTACACCTCCTGACCCGAGCCCGCCCAGATGGGGCTAGGCCCCGGAGCCTGAGCCCCAGGGCAGGGGCTGAACCCACACACCTCAGCCTCCAGCCCACTTGGGAGAAGAGCCGGCCACCAAATGGCATGAACCCAAGCCCCCGGCTCCCAGGGGTGCAAACGAACCAGGATCCTGCCCCACTCACGTTTGGCATCTGACACACAGTGGTTGGGCGACCACACCAGCATCCCCTTCAGTTCCTTGTTGCTGTAGCGTGCAGGGCTCTCTGAAAGACGGGAGCAAGAAGGGTCGGCCTGGTGGCACTGGCCTGGACCCACGCCAGAGGGTGGCAGAGGAAGGGGGCCTGTGAGGTGAGGCCCAGAAGGGAAGGAGGGGCAGAGACCCAGACAGGAAGGCAGAGCAGGAAAACCAAGCATGCCATGGGCCACCCACCCCCGCC